TAGTCAGTTCTCATCAAGCTGTGCTTTAAAATTTGTCATTCTTTTGGTTAATTTACTTGGGTCCCGGTCACACGGGCAGGAAAATGCGGGGGGGGGGGAATGTGGCTGTTAGCCCCGGGGCTAAAAACCGTGCAGTTGCTCGAGCAGACCTACCGAGCGCGGCCCCGTGGTAGGGGGGAGGTGCCGATCACTCCACAGTCCTGCGGCGCAGCAAAGACGTGGGGCGCGGGGCAAACGGGGTTGGTTTTTTAAAAAAACCTCAAACGTGCGCATGCTCCCTTGGCTGCTTGTGCGCATCCGTGGAGACTTTGGGGAAAAAAACACCTTTTTCAGGGGGGACATGGGCGGGTACTGGAACTACCACTGGAAACGCGATCAGACGCCCGTCCTTGCGGGAAGCCTCGGGTTCGCCACGGGAGCTCGACGCTTCCCAGATGTGGCGGTGAGATCTTCCCTGGAAAATCCACCTATCCTCCGTCCCTCTAGCGTGCCTAATGCTCTGTGTGACCGCAGCCTTGGTCATATTTTTCTATGTGTCTGCAGAGTAAGTAGAGAGCCCTACCTTTTCTGTGGGTGGCCCCATTATGCTGATTTCATCATCTGCACAGAGGCCAGCTATTTTACTGGTAGATGGATTTTAGGTACAGGAAATATTTTACTGGTAGATGGATTTTAGGTACAGGAAATATATAAGGGTCTAGCTATCCTACTCCTGGTGGTACTGGCTCTCCAAAACTGCAGGCAGCTATTTAAGCTATTTAAGTTCTTTAAGATGAGATGTCAGGGTTAGAAACGGGGGGCTTCTACATGGGAAGTCTATGTCCTATTGTGGCTTTATGTCAGAAGAGACATGGGTGACTCTAAAGCTTCCTTAGTCTTCAATTTCTTTTTCAACCCTACGAGATAAGTACTTGAGTGCCTGGAGTTCAAAGCAAGGAGTTACATATTCAATGAGAACATAAGATCTTTAAAGAACAAATAGCTGCACAGTGGAACAGGCGCTAAGAGCAAATGACTTCCCAGGCACTAACCAATAGGGGGACCACAATGCTGTCCAGTTTGGCAATTGCAGGAGCAGTAGGTGATGTGTCTCCAGAGAGGAACTGCATTTTCTCAAGTACTTTTAACCTTCAACTTTATATCCCGCTCGAATCCTCTTTTTCACAGAGGGTCTCAGAGCGGCTTACAATTGGTGCTAATCACACGAGTTTCCCTAACTAGGGCCACAGAGTTATATGGGGTAGGGGTTACCTATCAGCACCCAGTAGGTGATGTGTCTCCAGAGAGAAACTGCATTTTCTCAAGTACAAAATATGAGACTTTTGAATGCTAAGCATAATATTGAGATATTCCTGTGACAGATGTGTAGCATTGAGAGATGTCTGAACCTGTGCATTTACAGTTCTAGAAACTGGTTATGTGACATGTCCAAAGTGAAGCAGAAGCTAAGCCACACACCACTCTGTGAAACAGGATGCCGGACTAGATGGGCCACTCATAGAATCAGAGAGTTGGAAGGGACTTCCAGGGTCATGTAGTCAACCCCCTGCACAATGCAGGAAATTCACAAATACCTCCCCCTCCACCGCCCCAGTGACCGTTGTTCCACACCCAGAAGATGACAAAAAACCTCCAGGATCTCCAGCCAAACTGGCCGGGAGAAAAATTGCTTCCTGACCCCAAAGTGGCGACCAGCATTTCCCTAGGCGTGTACGAAAGGGCCACAAGAACGAAGCACTGAGGCAACCCTTCCTGCCCTTCCTCCCTCTCATGACCTGCCTAAGTTCACAGAATCAGCATTGCTGCCAGATGGCCATCTAGCCTCTGTTTGAAAACCTCCAAAGAAGGAGAGCTGGTCTGATCCAGCAGGCTGTTCTAATGTCCTGTAGTTTTTTTCTGGGAGAGAAAGGGGTGAACAAGCCTTCCACTTGTTGCCTTTTCTTGTTATGTGGCCTTGGTTAGAGAACGCATTGCAACTTAACACAGCATGCCTCCCTGTGGGCCATTTGTTTGGGAGCTGGGTGGGCTGGGAGTAGTACCGTTATCTAGGAGCTGACAAAGAAGCTGGAGGAGAGCCAGCACTGTAAGTTTCATCCTTTCTCTGCTTATCTTTCCTCCTCCTCTATGCATCCCTCCCCCCTCCAGCTTCCGAGCTCTAGGAATCTCCAGAGCTAGAAGCAGATAGCATTTTGGTTGTTTTTTAAAAATTATTTTAGAAAAACAGTGGGGGTGCAGAAAAGGGGGAAAAAAGGGTTATACAACATAATTCCATTTGTCAAAGTCAATACGTAGTTCATAATGTATAGGACAGAGAATGTTTTCCCTTTCATCCCGTTCATTATAAGTTTTAAGGTATTATCTATAAAATACAATAATTCTTCTTTCTGTCGCGGTACAGTTGTATTCATCATTTAAGTTTTAAGTTTCAAACTTCATAACTAATCTATTTTGACTACAGCACTGGTTTTATCATTACTGAGTGTTCAACCTAAAATATTTTCGCCACTTCCACATATTCATTAGAACCTTTAATAGATACGTAGTATATCATGGTGCAAAAGAAAGTCTTCTTATATGTCTCCTATAGAGATCTCATTCATATTCAAGATATTACATTTGGAACAGATTTTATTTCTACTTCTATTTCATTATTGTATATTTGTGTATGATATTTTGTCACTTTATGTTTGTCGCCTGCTAGCATCTCTCCCTTATAATAAAAGAGTTTTGGGTGCCAAAGTTCTAAAATGCACTCCTTTAGTGTTAGGCCGAAAAAACTGCCACTCGGAAGACACTGGCTGGGTTCATTGGCTGCTTTGTCCAATCTAGCTTCCATTTTGCTGCATAAATAGTTCTAGCCACTGTCACCATATTTAAATAGCTCTTCTAATTTTTTTGGTAATTTGTTAGGCAGAAACAGAATTGGTTTCCATTGGGGATTTAAACTTTAATATATTCTGCATTTTTACAAGTCCACCACATATGAAAGAAAAGTTCCACCTATGTCATAAGAACATAAGAGACGCCAATGTTGGATCATGCCAAAGGCCCATCCAGTCCAACACTCTGTCACACAGTGGCCAAAAATACCAGGTGCCATCAGGAGGTCCACCAGTGGGGCCAGGACATTTGAAGCCCTCCCACTGTTGACCCCCCCAAGCACCAAGAAGACAGAGCATCACTTGCCCCAGAGTCCCTATCTATACCTTATGGCTAATAGCCACTGATGGACCTCTGTTCCATATGCTTATCTAATTCCCTTTTGAAGTCATCCATGCTTGTAGCCGCCACCACTTCCTGTGGCAGTGAATTCCATGTGTTAATCACTCTTTGGGTGAAGAAGGACTTCCTTTTATCCATTCTAACCCGGATAAATGTCCATTCTAAATGTCTTGACATTTCCAGCATTTTCCTTGTAGTTTTTATGCGCTTTCTCAATGTCTTTTGGAGTTATATACCATCTGAAAAACATTTTGTACCAATTTTCTCTTAGTGTCTGGCTGACTGTAAATTTGATATCTTTTTCCCACAGTCATTCCCATTGTTGCATAAATATCTGTTCTTTAAGGTTTTGCATCCACTTAATCATACATTTTTTCACTTGTTCATCTTCTATTGCTAGCTGGAGTAAAATCTTATATATTCATCGTAGTAAATGCTGTTTTTGTTTTGTAGTCAGCTGCTCAAATTCAGTCACATCTCTTAGAACTCCACCAGTATTCATGATTTCCTTTAGTCTTGAGACTAATTGATAATACAACAGCCATTGAACGTTTACACCTTCGTCTTTAATATCTTTCCAAGACTTGATTTTCCCCTGAGTGTTTATTATCATGCCATATGTTAAAAAATCATAACAAGCTTCTATTGGGGACATAAGCAAAGAGTCTGAGCGGCTCAATAAATTCCGATGTGTAAACCATATTCTCAAAAGTCCGTCTCCGATTATGTGACTTCTTTCTTGTGTTATGATCTTTTTAGTCAATTTCTTAATGCGTAAGTAACTGTGTAGGCCTTCATCAAGATCTACTGATTCTAATTTTACTATTCTTTGTCTTGTAAACAGCATTTTGGAGGGGCAGCTCAGCACTTTGGCAGCCCCTGGGTTCTCCCTGTGCGCAGAGATCAGTGTTAAAAAGCCATAGGGTGTCTATGTAATTATTTATGGGTGTGCTTGTGCCAGCTGTTGTTCCATTGGCACAGGAAACAGCTGTATCATACATCTTGGGATAAGCCTGATCAGAGCTCTGTTTCCTGACAGTCAGGATCGGAACAGGGCTGAAGCCATGGTAGGTGCCAGGATTAAAGTACCAGAACTCCATCTGAAGATTTTAGGAATACGGGCAGGAACCTGGAGGGACCTGGATGCAATCTGAATACACACATGGAGCTCCCTTATACTGAACTGGACCACTGGTCCATCAAGGACAGTATTGACCACCCAGACTGGCAGTGGCTCTCTAGACTCTCAGGCTGAGGTCTTTCACAACACTCCAGTAAAGATCAGGTTAAAGATGCCAGGCAGGATTGAACCTGGGTCCTTCTGCATGCCAAGCAGATGCTCTGTCATTAAGCCACGGCCGCTCCCCTAAAGCAACCACCCTGCGAGGTAGGTTAGGTTGAGAAAGAGTGACTGGCCCGGGGTCACTCAGCAAGCTTCCACAGCAAGGTGAGGATTCAAACCCGGGTCTCCCAGATCTTAGTCTGACACTCTAACCACTGCACCATGCTGGCTTGTCATTTCTGATCTTATGCTGGCCTCTCATGGGGTTTTCAAGGCAAGAGACTAACAGAAGTGATTTGCCATTGCCTGCCTCTGCACTGCAATCCTCGTCTTCCTTGGTGGTCTCCCACCCAAGTACTAACCAGGGCCGACCCTACTTAGCTTCTGAGCTCTGACAGGCTCAGGCTAGCATGGGCTATTCAGGCAGCCGTATTTTTATTAGCCAATCCAAAATGTAACAAAAATAACATAGAAAACAGCAGCTGATTTACCCGTAATGACTGAATCCACGCACCCTTCCAACATGGTTTCTCACTTTCTGCAGCCGTTTTGGGTTTCAGCCTCACTGAGCTCCTTTTCTGACACAGGTTCTTCAGACACAGAGGTGACGTGGGACTCATCTGCGGATGAAAGGGGTTGTGGTGGGTCCGGGAAGCGAGGCCCATCCACGAGGGCAGGTAAGTGGGCTACTGAACTGCTTCTAATCTTAACCTCATGGGAATCTGGACTCTCACTTAAGATGTTTACAAGTAAAGCCCAGCCCCGTCCAGAGTAAAAAGGTAAAGGTTCCCTTGCTCGAAAGCCAGTCGAATCCGACTCTAGGGTTGCGGTGCTCATCTCCGTTTCCAAGCCGAAGAGCCAGCGCTGTCCGAAGACGTTTCCGTGGTCATGTGGCCGGCATGACTAAACACCAAGGCACACGGAACGCTGTTACCTTCCCACCAAAGTAGTACCTATTTATCTACTTGCAATTTCTTGCTTTCAAACTGCTAGGTTGGCAGGAGCTGGAACTAGAGATGTCCAGAGTATGGGACATTTTTAGCACAGTAGTATTCTACTTTCTGATCTAGCCACTGTCAAGCTATATACACTTGTTCACGTGTTCTGAAAGGGGGGGGGGCACCTACCTTATGCCAGCAAGTGAGGGCATCGGTCCATGTAATTGCTGCAAGGGATTCAACCTTCGACCATCTTCCTACAGAGTATAGGCTCTAGTGCTGGAGCCACAGCCCCTCCTAGAGATAGCTTTGTTGCATAGGAATTATTGCTATTTTTTAAATAAGTAAAATATATATTAAAACTTTTTACACAGTTACTTAGTAAAAAAAACACCCATTTGACTAAGTTCCTTTTTAAAAAAAATAGGTTAGAATTTAATTCTCCCAAAATACTGCTGGAATTTTCATGTGTGTCTGTGCAAAGGGCTGTCAAGTACCAACTGATTTAAGGCAACCCTGTAGGGTTTTCAAGGCAAGAGATAAAGAGAGGTGGTTTGCCATTGCCTGTCTATACGTAGCAACCCCGGACAAGTACCAACTAGGGCTGAGTCTGCTTAAGTTCCGAGATCTGACGAGACAGGACTAGCCTGGACCATCCAGGTGATGGTGGAATTCTTATGTAACACTTCGAAAAATACACGGGGATGGATCTAGACAGCTTTCCACTCAGTCTCAGCCAATGGGGTGGGAACCAACCGCATTTTTCATTCTGTCTCAGCTAATGGGCTTGGATCCATCCAGCTTTTCATCTCAATTTTACCCAGTAGTTCTTCTCACTACTGCAGCCCTCATCCCAAGTGGCTATTGTAATTGGAGGTCCCATAAACCCCATCATCGACTTTTTCTGGTAGTCAAAGCGGGACCCTTCCACAGTTTTGATCAGTGGAAAAGCTGGCTCGTAGTGAGCAAGCCAATGCTGCTCTCCCCTTTTCCCTGCAATAATTCCTGAACATTTTATTTATTTTATTTATTAGGTTCCATTTTTAGACCGCTTTTCCCTGAAAAATGGCTCAGGGCGGTGTACGGTAATACATACATAAATCAGCAATAAAAACAGTAAAATCCACTAAACACAGTAAGACCTAACAAGTTGGTGTTGAGTTTAAAAAATAGCTTCTTAAATAGCTCATTGAAAGTTATGTACTGCCTCTGTACAGTACTGGAGTGCTCCCATTTATAAAGCAATGGGCCAGACTGATCATCCATAGCATTTATTTATTTAGGTATTTATATCCTGCTTTTCTCAGTGGTGAACAGAAGGCAACTTACATAATAGACAGATTAATGGAGGGATAGATCTATCGGTGGCCAGTAGCCATGGTGACTAAATGAAACATTCACATTCAGAGGCACTAAACCTCTGAATACCAGTGCCAGGAGGCAGAGGAACCAGAAAGCCTTGGCCTCTATACCATTGTTGGCCCTCCAGAGGAACTGGTCAGCCATGGTGTGAGACAGGATTCTGGACCGCAGGTCTGATCCAGTTAGGCTCTTCTTATGTTCTTGTTCACCCCTCATCCATTTTATTCCCACAACAACAACCCTGTGAGGTAGGTTAGGCCGAGTGTGGCCAAAAGTCATCTAGCAAACTTCACATGGGGGGATTCAGTCCTGGGTGTCCCATATCCTAGTCCAGCACTTTAACCACAACACCATGCTGGGTATAGCGCTTCCAAGTGTTCAGAATGCTTCAATGCATTCTGTTGCTAAAACTGTGATGGCCCCATCCACTTCCCTCCCTCAGAAGCAAGATGTTCCCTCCTCTTTTCTTTCCCTTTCTGACTCAGCAGCCCTCATGGTCTGTTTTCTTCTTTCCTGAAGAACTCTGGCTGTCCCACCCTGTCTCAGTATGATATTTTACTGCTGGCTCAGCCCAGGAACCTGAGGGAAGGAGTGGGATCGCCCTTTAACTTGAGCAACTTAAATGGCACTCAATGCGTTTTGAAATTCAAAAATAACAAAATATTTTATTTAACATAAAGGGGAAAGGTCAGGTGAAATCAGGGGTCGAAATTTCTGAGGTAAAACCAGTACATGGGCAGATTTAGTTCTTATGTTTCAGGCTCATGAGAGTTTCTTAAGCTTTTCACAGTGACTTAAATCTTTATGTTGAGAGGCTTTCGTTCCAGTGTTTTCTTCAAACACTCCAGTACACGTTGAGTATTCTCTGACACTCTTTCCAATACCCAGACCCCTTCTCTTAAAATACCAGCACTTGTCTTGAGTTTCTAACTGATTCTTAAGGTTTCTAAAGGCAGTTTCTAACCACACCAGATTAGGGATCTCTGCACTTTTCAGAGTTAACTCCCTGTTTAACTGGGTAGGGAATTTTCTTCTCTCTCTAGGAGATCTATCTCCTTTCCTTGGCCCGAATGGGAGTCTTCACCTACTTCCCAAACTTCCTTGCCCACTTTCTCCCCGTTCTCCGTCTGTGTTAAACTGCTCCTCAGTTGAGGTTGAAATCAGACTGAATTCTTCTCCTCAGCGTTCAGCTCTAAAGTCTTTCGCTGCTCAGCTGATGCTAACCAATCAGATCTCTTGGAACAGCCTGTCACTCAAGGCTCTTTGGCTCAGCGAAGAATTAACCCTTCACAGTCTATCTGTTTACACAGCACTTCTAAGCTTTTAAAAGTGCAGTCTGTCAAAAAACATAAGGCAATATAATTTTGCTATAAAATATATGACAATCCTGTAAGGGAAGCCAGTATTATTATCAATAGTTTTGATATAGAGCACACAGACTTGCCTTATAGCGAGTCAGACCAGTGGTCCATTTGCCTCAGTACTGACTAGCAGTGGCTCTCCTGGATCTCAAAATAAGAATGACAAAAATACTGCAATTGTGCATACATATGTTCATTTCTCTATAATCCTATAAGCATACAAAATTACGACATTCAGCATAACATTAATTTCATGTCTTTACAGATCATAACAAATGATGAAATGATGGATGGAACTCTCCGGAATATCTTCCGTTTCGTGAGCCGCCTTCTTACATCAATCAACCTGTTACATACAGTTTACAGTCATTATTTCATCAAGGAATAAACCAAGCCTCAATTTTAAAATGTTGCCACCACTTCATACATACGATCAGTTGTCTTCTTCACTTCATAGACACTTCATAAGAATTCAATGATTTTCTACAATAAATTTTTACAATTTTCTCATTACATGTTTACCAATAAATCTTTTACAGCAATTACTGTGATTATGTCTTGTTTACTAATATAAATGAATAATTTTCTACAATATTTTTTGGTTCTTACCACAGAAGGGAAACCTTCCTTTTCCTCACTCTCAAATTGTAATCACGAGCTGTACAACCTTACCCCAATTACCTTCCTTTGTGTTTTTAAATCTCCCTCTTAGATTACCATAAATCTTATTCCCATCCCCATTTCAATTAATACAATCACCAAAGGAAACTTATAAAGTTAAAATCCTATACCCTATTTGATTATAAACTTTCATCACGTTCCATGCACAATCAGAGAATCTCCCCTGTCTGCCTCCCACCTTGTACCACACTGCATAGAACAGATCCATAAGTCTGAAGATTTCAAGTGTGTTACTCTTGAGGTAGTCCGCCCTAAATTGTATCAGATTATTGACACACAGAAGCTCCTATGACCGAGGGAGGCGTATTGTATCCATTGGCTTAACACCTGCGCACCAGCTGTCTTGAATGCTGCACTAGAATTAACATGCCTTTTGTAAATACTTAGAGAACATCGGGTGATTCTCGGATGTTAATGGACCATAAGAGCAGACAGGGGAGATTCTCTGATTGTGGATTGACCATGCAATAAGTTAAGTGCATAGGATTTTAACTTTATAAGTTTCCTTTGGTGATTGTATTAATTGAAATGGGGATGGGGGAATAAGTTTTACGGTAATCTAGACCTTTAAGAGGGAGATTTAAAAACACAAAGGAAGGTAATTGGGGTAAGGTTGTACAGCCCGTGATTACAATTTGAGAGTGAGGAAAAGGAAGGTTTCCCTTCTGTGGTAAGAACCAAAAAATATTGTAGAAAATTATTCATTTATATTAGTAAACAAGACATAATCACAGTAATTGCTGTAAAAGATTTATTGGTAAACATGTAATGAGAAAATTGTAAAAATTTATTGTAGAAAATCATTGAATTCTTATGAAGTGTCTATGAAGTGAAGAAGACAACTGATCGTATGTATGAAGTGGTGGCAACATTTTAAAATTGAGGCTTGGTTTATTCCTTGATGAAATAATGACTGTAAAATGTATGTAACAGGTTGATTGATGTAAGAAGGCGGCTCACGAAACGGAAGATATTCCGGAGAGTTTCGTCCATCATTTCATCATTTGTTATGATCTGTAAAGACATGAAATTAATGTTATGCTGAATGTCGTAATTTTGTATGCTTATAGGATTATAGAGAAATGAACATATGTATGCACAATTGCAGTATTTTTGTCATTTTTAGTTTTTGATACTGCAACCCCTGTATTGTTATCTCCTGGATCTCAGCCAGAAAGTGTTGTAAGCTGGTATCAATTTGTCCCGTTCTTTTTTTTATCATTGGGAACCGAGAGCTGTGGAATAACATTTGGATTCTCTGCCTTAGCAGCACACAAGGCAATCCCATGCCGAACCGAGGAGCCGTTTCCACAAGAAGAGTATGGGGAACGGTTTGTGGAAGCTGAGGTCCTTCAGAACCACACTGGGCCAGCCAGCAGGGACAGCGCTTACTTGTGCGCCCAGTGTGGGAAAGGATTCCGATGGCCCTCGGCACTGGCCGTGCACCAGAGGACACACACGGGCGAGAAAAGACACCGCTGTACCGAGTGTGGGAAGCGCTTTGGCCAGCGCGGACACTTGACTGTGCATCGGAGGATCCACTCAGGGGAGAAGCCTTACGCGTGTCCTCAGTGCGGGAAGCAGTTTGTGGACTCCTCCCATCTCACCAAGCACCAGAGGACCCACTTGGGGGACCGACCCCACCACTGTGCCGAGTGCGGCCGAAGGTGTGCAAATAAGCGGTCGCTGGTACAACACCAGAGGATTCACAGCAGGGAAAAGCTTTAGGCCGCAGGTGCTTCCTGGCTCCTCACAGGACACTTAGGTGTGGTCGCAGTGGCTGAACTGAGAGGGGAGAGAGCCACGCTTTCTCTCCAGGCTTTTATGTTCCCTCATTCAAGCTGTATCTCTTTCAAGTAAGTCTTTAAATGGACAAGTCTGGGGAGAGGAAGTGGTGAAGGCATTAAAAATGCTCTTTGCAGGTGTGGTCCAGGGGGAGGACTTTGGCAGAACCTCTGTTTGCCAAATACTCCCCAGGTAAAAGAAAGGTGACGAATCCTATCCAAGAGAAAGAGCTGCACGTCTCTAGGGTACCTTCAAGACTAAGAAGCCCCCTCTCGTGAAGACAGGCTTTTGCCCGAGGCAGCACAAGCTGCAAGGTCCGCCGGGTGATAAAATAGTTGAACATGGGCTGTGTAAAGAAGTACATTAAAAAAAAACCAAACACTTGTAGTGCTTTGAACTCTTTGTTTTTCATGTGCATGTGCCTGTAGCATGTGAGCAAGTCTGATACTGATAAGATACGCTCATTGGCCACTCTGGGGCTGCTGCTCGCATTTTCTTCATTCCTTTGTTGGGGGGGGGGAGGACAAGAGGAGGAACCTTCTCAGGTTCTCGTTGCCAGCAGCCGTAAATGAGCAGTGAATGGCGGCATCAAGGGGGTGCTTTCTTTGCCTTTTGCTCACCTGCAACCTCATCACCAACTGAGGAGATGGTGGCAGCGGCAGAGACTCACCCCAAGGCAGCAACATGAGCCTCTATAACGCGCATCCCCATAGGTACTCTTCTGGCTTGGGTATTGCTTCTCTGATTCCAAGGTTCTGGTTGACACCCGAAGAGACAAAGTGGGAACTCTGATCAGCAGCCAGTGTTCCCTCTGAGTGTGAGCTAGCTCACAGTTTTTTAGCCCCCGGCTCACACATTTTTGTCTTAGCTGAGGAAGGCTGGCTCCAGAGCAAACTAATTTCTGCAGCAGCCAAACCGCCCGTTCACAACTTTAATGCCAGCAGCTCACAAAGTTGAATTTTTGCTCACAAGACTCCACAGCTTAGAGGGAACATTGATTCAGCACCAGTGATTTTTGAGAAACCAGAAGGTAATTGTGGTTCCAGAGTAAAAATGGCAAGGTGTTCTGCAAATGGATATAAACATAACCCCGTGAGAGTCACTCAGCAGCTCTGGAAGGGCCCTCCCTGGCTTTGTCCCATCCCCCTCCTGTGGTGATGACTGTAAAAAACAGTTGGTGCAGTGGTTAAGTGTGCAGACTCTAATCTGGGAGAACCGGGTTTGATTCCCCACTCCTCCACTTGCACCTGCTGATGTGACCTTGGGTCAGTCACAAGCTCTGGCACAGCTGTCTTTGAAAAAGAGCCGTTTGTGTCAGAGTTCTCTCAGCCCCACCCACCTCACAGGGTGTCTGTTGTGGGGAGGGGAAGGGAAAGGAGTTTGTAAGCCGCTCTGAGACTCCAAGTGAAGGGCGGGGTATAAATCCAATCTCTTCTTCTCTTCTTCTTCTTCTTCTCCACGCCTGCAGTATCAGCCAGCTTACTGTGCACAGAACTGATTGGTTGGTCCCATGCGGTCACTGAGAGACCTCTCCCCAATCCCCAGAGCAGTTGTGCACTTTTAAAAGCAAGCATCCTTTATTAAAAAAAAAAACCCAAAAACACTATTACTCTTAAGGCAAAGAACCAAAACAATTGCCATATTTTAAAGACAGGCCGCTTGCCTAGTGTGGTGGGAAGATAACTGACAGCTAAGCCAGTCTCTGATTTGTTGGCATGCCTGGCTTCTGTTTCCGTAAACCAGGACCTAATCCACGCAGTACTTTTTATTAGGACCAACCAGAATGACTCAAAACATGGGGCATGCTTTCAGGCTCACCAGAACTCTTTATCAGACTGGAAGTTAGAACATTTAAAGAAGAAATAAGGGTGGAAAGTAGCCTTCTATGGCCATGAGGCCTGATCTTGCAGGTATCCTCTGGGAGATGCATGTAGGCCATTGGTGGCGAGAAGTGCCATCCAGTCATGGCCATAGGGTTTTCAAGGCAGGTGGTTTGTTATTGCCCAGCAAATGATTAGCAATTGACGTATCCCAGCGGAAAGGAGCCATTGTCCACTAAGAAGAAACTAAGAGTTGGTACATCCGACATCTCTTTCTTTAAGACAAAGAGGTTCACATCCGACATCTCTTTCTTTAAGACAAAGAGGTTCTCAATTCTTATCCGAATCAAGTAAATATTCCTCTACTTACCCCAGCCGTGGCCACGCCCAAAGGGAGTACCTCTGAAACATCAGCATACACACTAAAAATGTGAGATGTTTAATTTTCTTCAAAATTAATCCATACAAACGAAAATAAAACCCAATCGTGTTTATTTTAAAAGGAACTGTCCAACAGGGTCAGCCCCGAGATCCAAATTCTAGTCAAATAGCTACAGTTGATGCATTATGATCCGTCTCAGCCCTAACTGACGACAGTGACCAAAAAGAAGGTATGGGAGATGCTGTTTTTATGTTCTTTGGCAAAAGGTCTTCCAGGTAATGATCACAAAGACTTCCCAAGTCCCATCAGTTCCTAGGTGGCTGTGTTTGAAGAACCCCCCCCCACACACACACACAAAGAAGCTAATGGGTCATTTACTGCAAAGCTGTCTTGTCAAGAACAATTATTTTTTTATATATATAGGGCTGGGGAAGAGGGAAACCTGGTGGAACTTTGGTAAGAGTGCTGCCGGTCCTGACACACTTGGTACACAAAGCTTGTAGGTTTTGTGTTGTTGTGCGGTGGATGTAGCAGCAGTGGGCAAAAGAGATGTTCGGGGAAGGGGGTGTAAGCCCCACCATGTCGCTGTGTTCCTCCACCCCCCACAAATGCACGTGCCAACCAATCACTGGAAGGCATACGGCAAGATCACCAGCCCTTCTCTGCAGCCAAGGGAGAAATAAGGACCTCACGCAGAGTCTCAAAAAGGAGTGAGATGTCTTTGGAGAATGATGGAGGATCTTTCTGACCTCACGCTACGTCTTGGAAAGGCTAAGAAAACATTATGCTGCTTTGGGAGCGTTCACAAACTCAGCCCAGCCCTATGAGATTTTCATGTCCTTCTCCGTGCTCAGGAGGAGGGCGGGGGGAATCTCTGATTTTGTGCAGATCCTTGGCGACGCTTTTGCTTTGAAACGTCTTGCTGCTTCCTGAGCCTCAGCCCAACAGGAAGGACGGGATCTTGTCTCCTGTGACACAACTGTCCAAGTCATGGAATTAAAATAACAATGCTGACCGAATTATTTCTCCTATAGCTTTGTCCAACCTCTCTTTGTACAGATTTGGGAGTGTAAGGGCGCTACCTGGAGACACCCCCACGTACATACACACCGATGGCTCTGGGAATGTTTTGGAAAACAGCCACCCTCACTGTGAATGCTGGACTTTGCTACGTTGCTTCCAATCATGATTGCAACACAAAACTCCAAGCCATCATAACTGGTACGGGAGACTAAAGGGTCCAGAGCCCTTCCACCAACCTGTCATTCCAACAACTGGGGCACTTACAAATATTCACAAAACACAGCTCTGGCACCTTCTCCCCTGCAACCTGGCAGGCCATTCTGGGATTTTATGAGCCAATTCATCAATGATAAAAATTGCCACTCGTGCTCAACAGAACACAGCTTAATAGTACTGAGAATGCAGACTGTCTAGCACTTCCATGAGGCTGCCACTCTATGGTAAAAGCCAACTTGGCATCTCAGGGCCACTCGGCGTAAGGGCAGGGCTGCATGTAGTCTTAATCTTTACAAAAAAATCAGAATTTGGCACCAAACAAATCCGAATTCCACTCCTCAAGAAAAAATACATCTTGGAATTGGTATGGAGTCAAGAATACCTGCATATTCTGCTGTGCTAATCATGGGAAGGTATCAGTCTTTCTCAGTGTCACTGAAATTCCACCCCAACTGACAGAAACCGTGGAGTGGAGCCAGACTCAATTTTGCAATGGCGGAATGAAATTTTCCTGCCCTCCTCTCACGGCAGCTCACTGCGCACCACAAAATGTTGCTCCTGGTGGATAGGGGCCTTGAAGAATGCAATGGGAGGGGGAGGTTTGCAGCCCGAAGGAGGACTTGGCCTAAATTGTCAATTCAGTCTGGACCCAAACCATTGCCTAGGGTCTCCCCCACCAATGCTTGTTTGCAAGCTGACCTTCGATGCCTTATGGGCTAGCTATAAAAATGCTCTCCCCCACCCCGAAAAGAAACTCCCAAAGCAGTTGAGCTTCTCAGGATGTTGAAATCTGTATCCTAAACCAAATTCCTTGTTTGCTCAGAATCACAGAGTACACACACTCTCCTGTCTAGGCCAAGAAGCTTCAAGCACACTCTACAGAATGGATTTAGAGCATGGAGAAACTAGCCAGTCTATCGTTTTGATGAGGCTGCCGCTCTATGGTAAAGCGAACAATAAAAGCTTGTAGCTGTAAAGGGCGAGGCAGGAAGCACAGCTAACGACATTCAACAAATGGCTGGGCTGGGGGGGGGGTTCGCATGGAAGGAAAGGATCAGTAATTAAAATTACCATCTTGGCTTGTGCCTGGCATGGCGGAGTCTCCAAGTCTAGCACTCGTCTCCCATCTTTGACAGGCATTAGCAACCCTGGTGGACTAGTAACATGAATGGCATGATGTGGTTCTTGTTCAGAGGAGCAGCCTTGACTTTACCAGCAGTGCTCGAAAGACAGAAATAATTCATTCTGTAGGCAGGAATATTGAGGAGTTCACCCGCTTTCTCCCTCTGAGACATAGTACGGCCCTTTATGGCCCCAGATCTCTGGCCAAAAGCTCATTTTTAATGGGCTCATGTTTCTAACGGAGCAAGGGCTGACAGGCTCACCCCCACATAAGCCAAGACTTAGCGGAGTCCTCTTTAACCCCTTCCTTCCCCATCAGAACATTCACAGGGGCTTTGGCAGAGTTTTCCCATAATGCATTTCAGCCACTCATTGCCATTTCATGCACACAGGAAAACTAACAGCCCAAGTGTGTGAGGAAACCTGTGTTGTATCTCTCTTTGTGTGTATGAAGAAGGCCTTTTAGTGTTTTTGCTTCTGAGGGAGAACGAAACTGAGGGGCACAGGAAAAAGCAGAGGGGTCCCTCGGAGCAGTGGTGAAGCTGAGGGTCCAAAGAAAAGCCTGTAGGACTGAATCTAACCCCCCAGAATGTCAGTTGCCTGTTTATACAACTGATGTGAAATATGTCTCCCCTTCCTCAAACATCAATTAACCAGAACCTCTCAAGACACCACAGATGCTTGCACATCTAGCTCTGGACAGCTGTCTACAAGACAATGGACTAGTAACATGAATGACATTGTGTTTTTGCCCACACCGTGGTTCCTAGTAATGTTGTTGTTCACCCCCCCATAGTGCCATAACAGCTCTCCCATCTATCAACCTTGTAGAATTTCTAAGAGAAGCACCAAAAGGGCTTCCCCAAGACGGATCTCCATTGTTCTGAAGGATTACAGACTGGGCATTTCTCTAAAAAGATAAATCGTTTTTGTCTCACTACAAAGATATGGTCTTGGGTCAGGGAATATAGACTGTGTTATTTAACAACAATCCTGTCCTAGATGACTAGAAGATCTATCTCCTTTCCTAAAAAATAAAAAAAATAAAAAGAACAAAAAAAGACATCCGACGGGTGCCACTAAAATGCTATAAGTTCAGTGTTGTTCAAGAAGCCATCCCAAAGCAGGCCTCGGCCCCTTCCTTCAGTCTGGATCTCCAGGCGGAAGCCAAAACGGGATCTGGGCCTGGTCACATTGTCCGTTCTGCTTTGCACATAAACAGAGTTCATTCTAACTAAGCCATCCTCTGATGGACATTCTATCTGCGGATGTGGGGCTCAATGGGCATCAGGCAAAAGTCATCCGGCCCATCACAGGTCCAAGCTTGGCGAAGAGAACGTCCCAATGCATTGGCTCCCAGTGAACTCTCGGCGGTGGGAAATGAAGACTTCACCTCCATCGAGGAAGGGGCCGGCTAAGTCGTGTGGGTCCTCCGATGCCGAACGAGGTGTGAGTTCTGCCCAAACTTCTTCCCGCACTCGGGGCATTTGTATGGCCTCTCTCCCGTGTGGGTGATCTGGTGCCGGATAAGATCGGAACTCCACCGGAATTTCTTGCCGCACTGGCTGCATCCGTACGGGCGGTCTCTGGCGTGGGACGCCCGGTGCCTGGTCAGCTCGGAGCTCTGGTAAAAACTCCGGCTGCACTGGGCGCACCGGAAGGGTCTCTCTGAGGCGTGGGTCCTCTGGTGCCGAGTCAGCTGGGAGGTGTGACCGAAACGCTTGCCGCACTGTGGGCACTGATGGGGTTTCTCCCCCGTATGGATCCTCTGGTGGGTGAGCAGGTGCGAGTTGCGGCTAAACGTTTTCCCACACTCCAAACACCGGTGGAGGGGCTTTCCTGTTCCCTGGGGAACTCCAACAGGGTTGGGTTGTGCGGCTGGATTCTCTCCCATCTCGCTGCGTCTCTCCTCATGTTGCTGATTCGCTCGCTCGCTATGATGCTCAGAGGGCACATTCCCCGGGGGGTTCACGGCCGAGAACGTCCCGTGAGGCTCCAGTTCCAGAGGACCTCCGTGCAGTGGGTTCAGTTCTCGGCCTCCATTAGCCATCAGGGCACCTGCGGTGGGAAGAAATACAGGAGCACTTTGTAATGCTTATCGGCCGGAGGACCACCATCTCTGTCATCTGCACAGGCAAAGCAGATGGTTTTACGATAGTTGACGGTAGAGCAAAATTTACGGATGTTGCTTATGGTCCGTCTTTCTAACTAGGACTCGAGGTGGACTACACAGAGTAAGTCAAGACAGTCAACAGGATGAGACATCCAAGAACAACTTAATTTGCTTTGAGAATTATTAAAGAAGAATGGTAATAGAAAAAAAGATTAATGTATAAGAATAATAGTAGAAAGAAATGTTACCTGTAGATTGTGATAGATACATAAAGAAATATTGAGAGAATTTAAGATAAGGGCTGGAGGTTGGAGCACTGTGGGAAGCCGTAAAGGGGAGGGGGATAGGAGAAAAGGATATATGACAAATTGAAATGGACTGCGAGTTGGATTTTTTTAATTATATCCTAATAAAGTGTTTATCAAAAACAAACAAACACACACACAGAATGAGACATCCAATAAACCAGGCAATAGGATTTAGATTGCAGAAACATGGAACCAAGCAGAAACCTGAAAGAAGAACTGAAGCAAACCGTAAATATTAACAAAGTCTGAGTCCAGTGGCACCTTGAAGACCAACAAAGTTTAATTCCGGGTATATGGTTTTGAGTGCTTGCACACTTCTTCAGATACTGATGAAGGAGCAGATACTGATAAAGTGTGTTCATCAGATACTAATGAAGTGTGCGTGCACACGAAGGCTTATACTCAGAATTAAACTCTGTCTGTCTTAAAGGTGCCACTGGACTCAAACTTTGTTCCGTTGCTGCAGACCAAACACAGCTACCCACCTGAATCTATCAATATTAACGTGACATGTAAAACATACAAGAATTACATAGCGGGATCCTACTAACAGCAACGGGCAGTACAACCTATACACAGCAGTGTAGACCACATTCCCTAAACCCTTACCCAAGTAGTTTCCTAAATCATTTGGTACAGTACAACCCGATTACCCATGTAGAAATGCCCTCTTGAATAAATCAGTTTTGCACAGTTTGTGAACAATCCAGGACATTTAATTCCCCCAAAGGTGAGTGGAGACAATTGAAAAAAACTCACTTGAGTATATACTCAATGTGGTTGTCATCGAGTGGAGACAATTGAAAAAACCTCACTTACTTGAGTATATACTCAATGTGGTTGTCATGGTGCCAGAAAAGGCTACTAGCCCACATATACTTGTGCTGTATGCAGGGGTCATTTCGTAGAAAAAGAGGTGCAGGAACTCATTAGCATAACTTATTTGCATATGCCACACCCCCTGACACCAATGGAAGTATGTCAGAAGGCAACGCTCAGGCTCCACTGGACTGTTTTGGATTGCTAGCTATTTGGGGGGGATGTGGACGTGCAGATCTCTCCTCGCAGAGGAGGGAGAGCTTGTAGCGCCGCTCCGGTGCGCTCCTGCAGGAAATGACCCCTGGCTGTATGGCTTGAGTTGCAGCTGTACTACTAAACAGACACTGTTGAGCCACCACCGCATTTAAGTGAGCTCTCAGTGTCTTGTGAGAAGGGTTTCCCCAGGAAAGAAACACACACCTTTTTACTAGCCGGATTTGAGTCCATTAGCACCGTAGAAACCAACCCGATTTTGCGGGTATAAGCTTTTGTGAGTCAGAGCTCCTTCCGCCAGATACAAAGATCCTTTTCCCAACGATCCCAAAGGGATCTGCTTAGCAGAGCCAAAGTCATTCCCTGATAAGAAGGCAATCAAGCCGCTTAAGGGGTTGCGGCACCTTTCCGATGAGGAAAGGCTTCAGAGGCTGGGACTTTTCCGCCTGGGAAACTCGCTGCCAACATCTTACCGGTTTCCTGAAGGCCTCGGGGCTCCTGCTTGGGAATGCAGGGCATCTTCAGAGCAGGAACTGGAGGAGGCTGGTTTAGTGTCATGTCTGCTGATGGTACACACTCAGGGTGGGGCAGCAGTGGGGCAGACGGCTCCCACGGGGCTCCAGGCAGCATCATCTCTTGAGGGCTCACCTGTTCCACTTTCACCCGCACTGTAACCTGGCAAGGAGGAACGACGATACGTCACCGTGGAGATAGAGGCATGTGGAACTGACAACAACATGTCTGGGGTTTTTTTTGCTGTCAAGCCATAGCCAACTTATGGCAACCGCATAGGGGCTGCAAGGCAAGAGATGTTCAGAGGTGGGTTTGCCACTGCCTGCCTGTGTGTTGCAACCCTGGGCTTCCTTGGTGGCCTCCCATCCAAGTACTTACCAGGGCCGACCCTGCTTAGCTTCTGAGATCTGGTGAGACCAGGCTAGTCTGGGCCCAGCATGTCTACTGGATGCTTCAGGCCTTCTTGACGGGGTCTTTGAAATATTTTATTTATTTTATTTATTAAATCTATGAATCGTCCCATCCCTGCTGTCACAGGGCTCTGGGCGATGTACAACAGCATTAAAAACAATAAGCAGGTAAAACGAAATCATATTAAATTAAATTTTAAGAGACAGATGTGGACTAATAGTACTTACAATTAGTCATTCCCGTATTGCAGACTGCTGGACACTTTGCAGGCAGGGGGGGGGAAGAGGTCGAAACGAGATGGGAAAGTGAGGAGGGTGCCGCCGGCCGAGATAAAAACTGCTGCTGTCCTCAACCCAAAGCCTGACGGAACACCTCTGCCTTGAAGGCCCTGCGGAACTGCATAGGGTCCTACAGGGCCCTGATGGTATTTGGCAGAGAGTTCTACCAGGTTGGGGCCAGGACCGAAAAGGCCCTGCCCTTGGTCGAGGACAGCCAGATATCTTTAGGGACAGGGACCACAAGTGTGCTGTTGTCCAAGAAGCACAACGCCCTTCCAGGGACATAACAGAGGAGACGTTTAGAGCCCTCAAGAACCAAAGCTCACAGGGTGCACACCATATAGGAGTGCGTGAAGAGGTCTAATACCGACCCAAAGTCAGCATTATGTACTCAGACTGGCTGCAGCTCTCCAGGGTCCAGTGTTCCCTCTAAGCTGAGTTAGTGAGCCAGCTCACAGTTTTTTAGCCTCTGGCTCACGCCTTTTTGTCTCAGCTCAGGAAGGAGGACTCCCAAGCAAACTAATGGATGCGGTAGGCAAATGGCTTGCACACAACTCTAATGCTGGTAGCTCACCAAGTAGACTTTTTGCTCACAAGACTCCACGCCTTAGAGGGAGCATTGCCAGGGTCTCAGGTCCGCGGTCTTTTGCATCACCTGCTACCTGATCATTTTCACTGGAGATGCCGGGGACTGAACGTGAGACCTTCTGGATGCAAAGCAGATGCTCTACCACTGAGCAAACCCACCCACCCCCAATTCCCTGCCCATGCTTGCTTTACCAACAAAGGCTCTTGAGCGGAACTTGAGTGAGTGAAAGGACATTCTTGGGGCAAGGCTCTAGCTGAGAGGCAGAATGCGTGCTTTGCACGTGCACGGCCTCAGGTTCGATCCTCAAGCCTCTCCACTCAAATTAAATGAAGTTGCTGCTCTCTGAAAGGCTTCAATTCACACATTGAGGGGAATGAGCCTCTCAGGAGGTAGCAGAAATCTGAAGCGGCAGAATGGAGAGCTCCCATTTCATGCTGCAAGTAGAGGATAACATTTTTGGAATTGTATTAAAACCCCTCGCAAACAGAAAACTGGCCCCCGAAGCGAAAATGATGGGGTGAGTCTCCCCGCTGGGCTAGTTTTCTGAGGAGACAAGATGTGTAGAAATATCTTGATAAAAATAAAGGAAGCACATATAAACCTTGTCCCTAAGAACAGGGATATAGACTTTTACACTTTACATCTCCCTACATCTTTGAATGTAAGCTCTTTGGGGCAGGGATTTGTTTTAACATCCATGGAGCCTCCAATCTATTTACTGGTGCAGGGCAGTTGTGATAAGACATCAAGAAAACGTTTGGTGGGTGTCTGTCGGAGGATGGATTCTACACAGACCGTGGCTGGAGGCTTCCATCCCCACGTCCTTCTCCTCCACCGCCAAACGATCATCTTTGTCCGGTCACCTAAATCACCTGGGGGGAAACCTCTTCACCTGTTGTTCCCACATGCCAGCATCTCGCCTTCCCATCTGGTAGCCCTCCACCAGGGCCACTGCCTGGGCGCAGTTCTCGGGGCCTCGTTCCCACACCCAGCTCTGGATCTCCTGGGGCAAGATGGTCAGGAACTGCTCCAGGATCAGCAGCTCCAGGATCTGCTCCTTGGTGCGGCTCTCCGGCTTCAGCCAGCGACGGCAAAGCTCCCGGAGCCGCCGGCAAGCCTCCCGCGGGCCTTCGACATCCTGGTAACGGAACTGGCGGAAACGCTGGCGCTGCATCTCTGCACCGGCGCCGCCTTCTCCTCGCAGGCTGGAAGACTTGGACTTTCTGTGCTCGCTTCGGCCGCCCCTGGCATCCAGGCCGTTATGCGGCTGCGGGGCCTTTCCACCGAGGGCCGGCATGAGCCGGGTCACCCACTCTCCCCTCGGCCACTGGCAGGTTTCTGCCGCTCTTTCAAAGGAGGACAGGTAGGCCTCTATATCATCCACAGGAGCCAGTTCAGGCAGCTGAAGGTTCCCCCAGGCGGGGGGCGGGGGCGGGACGGGAACAGGCCCTGGCACGACGTCGGCGGGCGTCCGCAGGCTCTGCACCATCTCCTGGCACTGCACTTCCCACAGCTGCGGCATGGGGTCGCTCCTCACCTGGGGAGGAGTAGCCCACCTCAGCAGGTCGCTAATGGTGCCTGCCTGGACGACGAGGGGGGCCTTCCCCGCTGCGTCCCACTCCCACCCCGCTTCCGGACACGGCGGCCCCGGCTCCTCCATTTTCACCCTCGGGGGCATCGTTTCTTCTAAAGGGGAAAAAAAATGGAGGCCCAGTGCCGGCGGAGGCACCTCCTGAGTGGCAGCCATTTTCTTCTTCACTCAAGGAAGCAAGCCTGTGGGCCTGTCGAGAGGTGAACGACCCGGCTTCAGGCAACGTGAGCCAATCCGAGGAGGTCGTCCCTTCAGCTCACAATCTCAGGGGAGCGGAGGAGCATGACACAGCCCAAGAGGAGCAAGCAGATGATTCGCAGGTGGATCCCACAGCCAACAAAGCTGTGATGGAGAAAGAGGACTGCTTCCTGGTACAGTAAGGGGAAGGAAAAAAAACACCACTGAGAACTGCGTTCACAAGAAAAAAGATCCCCCCTTAAAGTATTCCGCATTTAGTTAAGAGGTAGATGCAGACTTATTGCTGCTGGGTTTGCCTATCGCCAGGGGAAGTCCCCTGTTAAGAACATAAGAGACGCCAATGTTGGATCAGGCCAAAGGCCCATCCAGTCCAACACTCTGTGTCACACAGTGGCCAGAAATACCAGGTGCCATCAGGAGGTCCTCTAGGGCTTCACATCCCCACTGAACTAACTCCCCTCCCCAGACTCCGCCCTCCCTAGCCTCCACTCCCAAATCTCCAGAAATTTCCCAGACTGGAGTTGGCAACCCGAGCAAAACATATGGCTTTCGTCAGTCTTGAACATAAGAGACACCAATGTTGGATCAGGCCAAAGGCCCATCCAGTCCAACACTCTGTATCACACAGTGGCCAGAAATACCAGGTGCCATCAGGAGGTCCACCAGTGGGGCCAGGACACTAGAAGCCCTCCCACTGTTGACCCCCCCCCCCAGCACCAAGATGACAGAGCATCACTTGCCCCAGAGCCCCTATCTATACCTTGTGCCTAATAGCCACTGATGGACCTCTGCTCCATATGCTTATCTAATTCCCTTTTGAAGCCGTCCATGCTTGTAGTCAGGGATAGTTTAGTGCTGTCCCTGTGGGATGCTCAAGTGATGGATAAGGAGCAGAATAAAAATACAGCGGCTGGGTAGAAATACTTGGGAAGGGGGCCCTTCTTCATTGCTACTTTTCTAGAAGGAGACTACCAGAACAGGGGAGACCCAGGCTCAAATCTCTGGGTGACTTTGGACCAGTCACACTCTCTCCCCCTCTCTCTCTCTGCCTAACCTACCTCACAGAGCTGTCATGAGGCTAAAGGGGAAACCCGCAGCCAGAGCTGTGAGTCAAAGTGGTATCTACCATTTCTAAAGAGGGCAGACACCGGGACCAAACAGTCCCTCCAATGCAAACGGCTTTGCAGTTATTCCCCTGGTCTACTACAACTGGTTCGTCAACCTCTGCAGGCATGTCCCTTAAAGACAGATTGGGCTGAAAAAAACAGCAAAATATATCTAGATTTTTCAATATACAACTGCTTTTCCGGAGCCAACCGAGGGTCAGCGACGTGTTCCCAACCCTGGCAAGCCCAAAGCCTCTGAAAACGTAGCCTGCGCAGGCTCAGCACTGGAGAAAGAAAACCCTTCTTCAAACAAAGGAATATTAATTTATGGAAGTTGCTGCCCTAAATAGGGATCAGTGGCCTTAAAAAGAGAAGAAACATATTCATTGAAAATAGGTCTGTCTGTGTATCAGCCATGATAGCTAAGAGGAACTTCATGTTCAGAGGCAGCCGTACCACATAGACACTTAAAGTTGCCTTACGTCACATCAGACCCTTGATCTATCGAGATCAGTGCTGTCTGCCCTGATTGACAGAGGCTCTCCTCAGTGTCGTGGTAGAGGTCCTCCACAACAGTTACTGCCTCATCTTTTAAAACTGGAGATGCTGAGGACTGAACCTGGGATGCTCTAACCACTGAACCACCACCCCTGATTTCCAGTTGCTGGGGAAACGTGGCAAGGCAGGGCAACTGCATTGGACCCAGGCACAGCTGGAAGCAGGTTTTTGGACTAAATGGTCTGACCCCAAAGGGCTCGTACGATGTCCTTAAACCCCAAAATGGGCACAGAACTGATAGCCCTTTCCTGCAGCCTTTCTAGTATCCATAAGTATCAATCTAAAATTTGTGGGTCATCATATCTTACGGCAGTGGATTCCGTAAGCTAATTCTACACTGCACAAAAAAGTCCTTCCTTTCTTCACTCCTGAACATACTGCCGATCCATTCCATTGGGTCATGCCAAATTCGAGGTTTTCTGCATGTGGCACAAAGGGATTCAGAGTGCACAATCCCTGTGAGCTTTCTGACACCGATGTGCAACTCGCAGGGATTCTTCAACCTGCCACAGTGCTGCACAAAGAAGTCCTTCCTTTCGTCACTCCTGAACATACTGCTGATCCATTCCATTGGGTCATGCCAAAGTCTACGTTTTCCGCATGTGGCACAAAGGGATTTGGGAGTGTGCCCATTCAGAGTGCACAATCCCTGTGAGCTTCCTGACACCGATGTGCAACTCGCAGGGATTCTTCAACCTGCCACAGTGGGGCAGGATAAGTCTAAGGAACTTCGCTGCTTCAGGCCCAGGATCCAAGAAGTGTGCCCCAGAATCCTTTGCAGAAGATGGAAAGGTCCACATGCACCTCTTGTGACTCCTCTGAGAGGCACCTCTCGGGCAATGTGCACCTCACCTCTATCGCAAGCGACTGCTTGTGTTGCCTGCATGGCCTAACTGGCCTTTTGCAGGGGACTAGCACAGTCGAGGGAGCACACACTAATTCAAGTAATACAATTTTGTCACAGTGCAATGAAGCAAGATGGGAAACTCCTACTAGGGCCGTTTCATACTACAAGATTCCCAAAGCGCTGGCACTTCCCTGCAGGAATTTACACATCACAAGCACCTGCAGCTACTGTACGAATTATTATCTACTCGTATGTAACATGTTAAATTCCTGACAACGGAAACACACACGGGGGTCAATGGAGGTGAGCATTAGCAGATCAATGAGCACTGATGCAGCATCCCACCACTGGCCAAGGACAGGGAATTTTGCCACCCCAAACCCTGCCCCAAGAGGTGACAATTTAGGGCCGTTTCATACTACAAGATTTCCACAGCTCTGGCACTTCCCTGCAGGAACTTACACATCACAAGCACCTGAAGCTACTGTACGAATTATTATCTACTCGTATGTAACATGTTAAATTCCTGAAAACGGAAACACACATAGGGGTCAATGGAGGTGAGCAATAGCAGATCAATGAGCACGGATGCAGCATCCTACCACTGGCCAAGGACAGGGAATTTTGCGACCCCAAACCCTGCCCCAAGAGGTGACAATGGAGCTGCTAAAGTTTCACTCCCTCCTCGAGGGATCCAGGAGTCCCGCCCGCAGAACACCAGGCTCCCTCCACATCTTGGACCCCCCAGCCCTAATCCGGATCCCACCCTGATTCCGCTTCCCGAAGCGACTCCTGCTGCTTCGGATCCCCAAGCCCTTCTCCCGTTTTTTTCCCCCACTGAAATCCCCGCTCC